TGAGTAATTCTGAGGTACGACAACATGTGTTTGGGCATGATGGAGATCGTCATTCAATAAGTGAAGTCATCTGGAAACACCAGCTTCGATGGCTTGGACATGTGTTACGCATGTCATCCCAACGGCTTCCATACCGTCCATTGTTTGCTAGCCCTAGGACTGGACGGAAGAAGCGGAGGGGTGGTCAGTGTATGATGTGGCCCCATGGGATGCAGGGTAGTTGAACCAGGTTAGCATCAGTTGGTGCATCACGACTTCCTTCATGGGGTCCGTGAGATCACCCGACTCAGTGGCTTCAGATATTATCAGATATGGTTTTAAATCGAAACCAGTGGCGGTCATGCTGTAGTTTTCTCTTATCTTTTACTGTTGAAAAGTAATGAGCGTTTTATTTTGAATGTCTTACTGGACTTTCCTTCTAATCATCCTATTCTTATTGTTTCTCTTTCTTACTTATCCACTTCCATCGTTCGTCTTTACAATGTTGTTATACTACTTTGTGTGGCGCATTTCTTGATGCCCTTGCTAAACCATGTTTGTGGTCTAATAATAATAATAATAGTAATAATAATAAAAGGGTACGAGTTATCACACCTCATATTAGCACACAAAGCAACAATACACTGAGATGATACAGAGATAAAGAAACCAATCAAAAGTAGAAAGTTATCAAGAGAGGCTAAAGGAGAGAATAGTGAAATTCAGTAGGGCGACAATAATGTGTAGATACATTTCCACCACTCGATGAGCCATTCTGCCTCGAGTCTCCAACAACTAATTTCTGTTGCCACGACGACCCTAACCGGGAGCCTACATTCTCCTATATAACATAAACCAGCAATAAAAGACTTCATGTAATGATGCCATGCTTTTTTCTGGCCACATCTAACCCTTTTCCGGCCTAAACCTACTTCAGTCAGCAATGTGTGACGAGGTAGATAGCGACCAGACATGCACAATATGCCCCACTCACCTGAGGCGGTGAAGGTTAAAAACCTTATCAACTGACTTTCTTCTCCTCCCTAAAGTCATACACCTGACTTCTGGATTCAAGCCTTAGAAGAGTGAATACAGCTGCGACATTGTGATCGATTTTCAGCCACGTCACTAAGATTTTCCAACCATTGATTCCTCTGGTCTTCGCGACCCCAGACAGGTAGTTAACACTCCTCTACATGGCTTGATGCAACCCACCAAGAGAAGTGATCGATGCATGCTACCACTGCACTCCCTATCCTTGAACTAGGAGTAGTTGCAGACCAGTCCTGAAGAATCATCTTACACTTGACAGGTGCAAAACCTATGCCAAACTTATTTTTTTGAAGGTTTGATTGGAAAATGCCTTCTCCTCTCATACACTTTTGTCTACTTTGATATCACCCTTTCCTACTCACTTGTTCGTTCTATACTATTGTGGAGCTTGGCAAGTTGAACCGATGCACGTGTGTGCGAGGTTCTGCATAACAAAGGCGACAATGGTCAAACACCTGAAGCCTTCTGATGTCATCTGCCTTTAATGGACATGTTTCCCAGCCATACAGCAGAATAGAGCGAACTGTAGCACAGTACACTCGGTCACAACAGACAATCGGACATTACAGCGGCACCACAAACGACGTACGTTGGCGAGAGCCAAGAGGGTCCTTTGTATCTGTGCAGAGATTTCGTCTGACACTGACTCACTGGGTCAGATTCGATTTCCCAGATGAGCGAGGTGATCAACATGTTTAACTATCCCACCCTCTACTGTTAGACAAGGCACCAGCGAAAACTTGTCCTAGAGTTATAATTTGCATCTGGGTGGCAAGACACGCATCCCAAACATTCTCAACCTGCTATTCAAGGTTTCCAGAACTCGAAATCTTGTCACTGCTTTCACCTAACAGGACTAGGTTAGTTGTGTACTCTACATCTACTGAGGATTCTCTTGTGATAACACCAATCCCTGCAAAGTTGGATGACGAAAGGGGAACCTTCATAATTACGTCTATGATAATGCTGAATAAGAATGGAAAGAGTGGATATCCTTGGTGAACACCAATCAGCGTACATAATCCACCTGACAACTCACCATAGGCTCTAACACATTCACGGGTGTTTGAATACAGAGCCTTCAACAGGGTTGTGTCCATCTACTAAGACACTGCTATAAGGCAACTCATTCGACGGAGTCGGATGCCATCTTTAGGTCGCGAAACAGAGCTAGTGTTGGGCCTCAGTAAATGTGCCCGTGTTCCAGAGCGTGGCATAAAGTGAATATCTGATAGATACACCCGTAGCAAGGTTTGAAACCTGCCTGATTTTTTCGGGTTTGCTGTTCCGAAGTTCCACTTAGACTCTAATGATCATAGAATCTAGAGTCTTAGACACTTTTTGTCACGTTGATTTCCATGATTCTCACAAAGGAATTTCTCTTCTCACTTGAAGACCGGGACAATCAGTGATTGGGACCGGTCAGACGAGGTTATATCTTCCTTTCACACACCAGCTGAAACGTCAGTTAATCTGAAAAATAATCCTTTACCACTATCCTTAAATACCTTTGTTACCAGTTCACCTGGCCCTACTCCTCTTTCTCGTTTAACGTTACTTAAATTTTTCTCGACTTTTGCAAGTTTCGGAGAGCTCTTTTCAGTATTCCATTCAGGATGTGACCGGATAGCGGATAACGGAATAGTAGCTGGTGGATGATTGAACTGTTTCTCGAAGTATTCTGTCTATTGTGGGAATGAATAGCGGATTTTTCCTCTGTTATGGTCTTACTGACCGTTAGCCTTTTTGATATGGAGATAGAGAGAAAAGACTAGTCTGGAGAGCGACCAATCAAAATGTGCTTTATGTTGTCAGTTAGACAGACAGACGGTGGATCACCTAATCAACAGTATTATTTTAAACAGCGAACTACATATATTAGATACATTTTCCTTTGTTTTGCCTTTCGGTCTTCCTACCCTGATACATGTTCTTCGTGTCTTCTCTATTAATTAGTCAGGTCGGGAATCAACTAGGAAGTTGTTGAATGTTGGTGACTGACACTCGATATCCGTGCATCGTTAGCGGCCATAAAACAGCAGTTTTCCAAACCATAACACTTATTGCTTCTTAACCGCAGCCTCCTTGACCACTCTAAATAAATGTTTGCAGTTACTTATTGTCCCTGCCTTTTCATCTCTTTAACCTTTGCTACCCACCACTCTTCATAGTCATTGAGTAGACTTTTGTCAGTCGACATTTGAGTGGCTGTTTCCTCATTGCAATCCGAGCCTGCAAGAATGCGTTTGCGTGTATCCATTACTTTAGAAGCTGCTGTGATCCATTGCCTTGGCCACCTTCTGAAAGTCGGCTACGGTCTTCAACGCTGTTCTTATGGCAGACGAGAGATGGTGTCAGGCTTCGCCTGAATAAGTGGTGTTATTCTGTACTGATAACAGTCTAACCGGTTTCTCCCTGAAAGCAGTCTTAGTATACTTACTCTCAAGCCCACCTGCAATGGTCTTTTTGCTGTAGCTTTTTAATGTTCATTTACGTGCTGACTGAACACGTGCTTCAGAAGAAGCGGGAATCTTCCGACCAACCCTCTCCAGCAATAACTGACAGCAATGCGGTCGGTGTCTATCGTTGATTTAAGGTCAGTGGACATCAAACAACATAGTCTCCTTCTGAAGTTCATGCTGGCCAGAAATAAATGGTTATCTGAGGACGATTGTAGCAGGTGGTCACCAATATCTGTTCGCTCGGCTAGGATTCCGAAAGCACCTTTCTACATGACGGCCTACTCACTTGAGCACTGAAAACATCTACGTCAACCACGTCTGGCTTTCAGTAGGAGGCTAGATTGCTTTCGCTAGAACTCATCCTTCACCTCACCTGAAATGCAGCCAATGGGTGCGTTAGCAGTGATTACAACGAGAAGGCGACGAGTTTCACTACTCTTCTTAATCCTGAATGCACCATTCAGAGAAAGGGAATTCTAACTTGACAGGATGCATATAGAAGTAACACCTGGTGATGGGGGAAAGTATCTAACAAGTTAATTTTTTGATATGAGAAGCTATCATCATGATATATGATAGACTAGCTTCGTCTGCGAAAACGGAAAACAGTTGAATGTACGGCAGTTGGTTAGCTACCTCGGTTAAACTTGATGAGAAACTAGCTTCCAAACACCAGATTGCATAGCTTCTGTCATAGGTACTATTTTTATTTTCAAAAGTTAGTCCACATAGTGGTCTTCCTTGAGGCTGTAGATAGTTGAGTAGGGTGTTTAACGTTACATCACACGTCAATGGGTTTAATATTTATTAGGCCTAAAAAGTTTCGGGTAACTAGGATTTATACTTACTATTCACATAACTTTTTCGTTGCATAACGTAAGAAAATGAGTGAGTTAGCGTATCACATTCAGGTATTTCGACTGCGACCCTCAGTTGCTAAGATCAATTGTATGCAGTCAGTATTTATTGGATAATCTAAGAAGAAACAATTTACGAACCGAGATTCGGCACAACGGAATCGTCATCTAAAATAAAATAATCCCAGTAATAACGTATACTTCAGTGAAACTTGGACGAAAGCACCAAATCATATTAAGTGCTAGAGACACTACACATCAATCAAGTCCTGTGCTGACGCTTTATATAGATGTTGCAGAAGTTATTACATATGACGCTTCGCGAAAAAAATGCAGTTTGTACAGATTCATATCACGGTAATGCTGTTGGGAAAACAGAATATAAAGTCCCGAGTTGAAGTAATAAAACGAACCTGGCAGTCTATAAGAAGGTTGAACATCTGACTTGCTCCCTTGCAATAAGATTACCAAATCTTTAATAATACTAAAGCATCTAAACAATAGCGGACAGTTATTCGTAATAGAGTGTGAGAAATAATTATTCTACCTGGTGATCTAATGTAAGTAAGGTTAGAATGGCTCTGCCTAGAACCTATGGTTAAAAATATACCTTAACTGAATGCCTAAAGTCACGATAGAAATCACTTACTTTCACACTGAAACCCACTACTTAGTAGTCCCCATATAACTTCCCCACAATGATGGCAGTAGGCTGGCTTATGCAGCGTTCGACGTATGAAAGAATGTCCCTGCGTGTTGCTAGATGAAACCCAGGTTGGTTGAAGTGGCGATGCATCACTGACATTGAAATTACGTGTACATGAATCTGCCTTTGCAGCGCCACCATCCAGTCTTTCGACAGTGCTTATTCTACATCGAAACTTCGTACATTCCGTCGGTTGTATCTGGCAATTGAGGGTTGAATCACTTTTGATAGGGATATCTTGATTTAGCCTCTGGTCGTCAAATGCTTCATCTGGGCTCATAGCCTTCGAAGAATTGCACTCCATTAATGCTGTCCGAAGACTATTATAAAAACTTCACCGACTAACAAGTATAGCACCCATGACCGTAAAAACAAACTCCCAGTATCGGCGGTCACCAAATACACCGCCGTTGGAAAGAATGCTACTTCCAATATCCAATATCTGTTTAACGAGCTTGTGTAAACCAGCTGATTTCTTCTTGCTCGCTTCTTGATCTTGTGGAACGGTTCCAGGTCTTTGATAGATCCCAATGAAGTAGATCCAGACACTTATCTGCTATAGATCTGGTATTCAGAACAGGAGGTTGAGTGTTGGTTAGTTCGCCTTGGACTGTGGTGTAGTTGGCTTCTTCAGATGTCGAGTTGCCAGACAATTGTTCTGACTTGTCTCTGAAGAGGGTTAGGGCTAGTCAAGATAAAACCTAGAAAGTGTTTGTGTGAGTAAAAGGGGAAAATAAAAGCGAACTAATGGAGTAATCTACTTACACCCAAGTAAGGCGAGATGTGCAAAGGTATGAAAAACATAGGTAAGTGAGGCTAACTCGTGGCAAGTGGAAGGGATGAAAAGGGTTTGAATGGTAACAACTGAATGAAAAGTGGTTGTGAAATCGAAATGTTTGGGGTGGCTTGACATCAGTTCATGTTCCAGTTATATGCGGGTAGACCGTACGTCTCTGCGTGACTGTCTGGCCTCTTCTTGAAACTTTCAGTGGTTGAGGCGGAGACCACCTCTGCTGGCTGTGAGTCCCAGCACCCACAGACTCGGAGGAAGAAGAATTGTGGACGCACACGAGTTTTTCACCTTTGATGGGCTATTCTCTTAGGGTTTCCTCGAGGATCTCCATAGTGGTCATTTGGTAGTATTCGTCTGTTCGGGTGACTTGGGTTATTCAGTATTTTGTAGGCCACTATCAAGTCAGCTCGTAACCTCTGGTAGCTAAGCGAGCATAGGTTTAGGTCTCTCAGTCTATCCTCATATGGTTTTCGCCGTATCCCAACAGCCCCCCTTGTGGCTGGCCTCTGGACTTTCTTCAGCAGATTAGTGCCACTTTTCAGCTGCGGCGAAGTGAAGACGCTGTGGACCTCTAAGTGGGGCCATATGTAGGTCTTGTAGAGCTCCAGAAAGAGTTCTGGGGTGAGGGCACCCATTTGTCTACGCACAAAGTGTAATACATGATATGCTTTTGAGACATCACCTGGGTAACTGGAACTGGTGTTCAGTTTCTCCGTCACCGTTAGACCCAGGTCTTTTTCTACTGTGGTAAGGAAAGATGTGAACCACAGAGATAGTAGGACACTTTCTGGGGGTCAGGAGTGCGGAAGAACATGGACCGGCACTTACCCAAGTTAAATGCCAGTTCGTTATTAGTCCCCCATTCCTCTAGTGCTTTCGGGGCGCTCTGTAATGCCATAGATTCCGCTCCGCAAGTTGTTGCCTTCCATAACTCGATGTCGTCAGCGTATATGAGGATAGGAGGGCTGATATGTTGCTGCAGGTCATTCACAAACAGTAGGAACAACAGTCGACCCAGGATTGATCCTCGTGAGACATCGGATGAGGGTGTTCTCCAAGTTGAGTAGGCCCTGTTCACTTTCGTGCTGAACTCTCTCTTGTCTAAGTAGTTCCACAGCCACGATAGCACCTGGCTGAATATGCCTAACCCGGCTATTTTATGTATTAAAGTTGTGTGTGAGACAGTGTTAAAGGCTTTGGCGAAGTCCGGAAAAATTGCGTGGACCGGGACGTTGAGATCCCAGCATGCTGTCCAGTGATCATGGGCCGCCAGGAAGTTGGAGGCACAGGACCTACCCTTCCGGAACCCGTGTTCAGCGTCACTAAGTGCTTGTTTTTGTTCAGATATCCCCTGATACGGTCGTCAGTCACACTTCCCATTACTTCTGATATTACCAGTAGAAGTGCTATGGGATTCTGTCTGTCCCCTCCTTCGAAGATGGAAGAAAGAATAACCCGTCTCCACTCTCGTGGGAGCTTTTGTCCATCCAAGGAGTGTTGGAAGAGATTACAGAGTGGACCACTTAGGGTACTTGCACATTCTTTCAACACGGATGGGTGGATGTCGTCGCACCCTGGGGATTTTCCGGCGCTTACCTTTGATAGCCTGTCGAGAATAACAGAGAGAATTATCTGTACTTCGTGTAACTCCACAGCATCGGGTAACGTTGAGGGCTGTTCGTGCAGCCGGCATGCGCACTTTCCTGATGGAATGCTGAGCTGAGTGTCAAATGTGGTGCTCAACATTTCGGCCATCTCCTGTCCAGAGAGATTTTCTCCGTTCGAACCTTTTACGACACATGCTCCTTGGCTTGTCGATTTTCTCTTTGCCATGAATCGGCATGGGTTTTTGGGGTTTACCTCAAGCCTCTTGGCTAGGTTGGGCTGAAATGACCTCCTGTCCCCCCACACCATGATGTTGCTTCGATTCCGTAGAGTCACGTATACGCCATGGTCGTCCCGTTCTCTGGACAGTCTCCACGTGTGCCATGCCCTTCTCTTGGCTTCTAGAAGGCGCTCAGCGCCTCATTTTAACCGTGAGGTTCGCTTTCTGGTTGTTGTTATCGCCAAGGGGACGTTTCGCGAGATGGCCACCTCAATGATATCTTTTACCAGTTCCCAGAGCCGGTCGACTGATAAGGAACACCAGTCCACTGGCCACGGAGCTTTTGATAGGATTTTGTTCATACCTTCGTAGTTTGCCTTGCTGTAACATAGGTAAGGGCGAGGTCCCTCCCATGATAATTTTTCACTGGTTACCAGGTAGAACACTATTGTAGCGTGATTGCTTCCTCCAAGAGAAGTCTTTACCTAAACGTTTTCAACCAGAAGGTGATCACTGGTCAGTAGGCAATCCAGTTTCGATGGTCTACCATCTGACCCCCAGCGGGTGTTGTCGCTAATTTTTTCCCGCAGTCCAGCTATTTGGATGGTGCTTAGCAGGTTGCAGTCGAACTTCCGGCTCGGGGTCGTGCCACCTTGCTCTGGGCTGAAGGTCGAAGCGTTGACGTCGCCAGCCATTAGAATCTGGTCGTACCCCATAGTCGACACTGTGGATATTACTTGGAGTAGTTTTCGGTTGTTCCAAGTTGCTATTTGGGCACCTATAGATTCCTCCAACCAGAAATTTTGTGTGTCTGTTCGCGAAGTGACACCAAACAGAGTCTTGGAACTCTGTCAGTGCGGTGTCAGTGGCTTGTTCACTTCCGAACCAAGGTCACAGCTGTACTACCTGCCCTACTTTCAAAAATACTGGATGATTCAAACAATGGCCAAATAATTCCTAATTTCGAACTGAGCTCACTTCAGTATGGTGAACAACTATGCTGGTACTCATCTGTTTTATTCTTTGCTGTCTGCAAAGCATTAACGTACCCACTTCGGACGCATCTTTTGTGTACCGGAAAGAACGGTGTCCATTGTATAGCTTGATGTTGTACATGACAGTCAGTTCACAATACCAAAATGATCAGGCCTGTAAACTGGTTTGTTTTCATGTAACTTACATTGTGTTGTATGAAATATATTATTATTAACTGTTCACGTATATTGCAGTCCCCCTCCGTCTCTATGTTCTCTGCCTCTCCTGGGCGGAGCCATGTCGTCTGTTAACTTCGGTGTCACTCACGTCTGGTGATAACCATGTTTCTGTCAGGGTCATGATTTTCGGGACAGGGTCGAGACAGAGAGATCGGAGCTGTGACGTTTTACTTCGACGTCCTCTCACGTTGCTGTAGAGACACTTGGAGGTGCTTCTCGTAAGGTGAGATGTCTCTGGGTTAACTAGTGGCGCAGGCTTGGATGTGAGGGTTTCTACTGACTGGCCAGTTCCAATGGCCCAGTTAAGTTTTTTCACACGTCGATTGGTGCACTCGGTGTTGGGCGGAGGTTGCCGGTCTTACCCCAAACATTTCCGTTTAGGGTTACCGTGGTCTGAGAGCAGGGAATAACCGCCGTCTGTTGCTGTCTCTGTGTTCTCAGTCTGCTTTCACAGCGGCGAAAGTTACCACTTATGGTGCTCGTGACTTTGTACCACGTCCCTAGCACTCTGGTGAGTACTTCTGGGGATTCGAAGTTGACAGCCATTGGTCTAGGTGAGGTCATAGTTGTCAGATGCGAGCGGCACGGCAGTCTGCTGATTGTCGCAGCACCAGCCCCACGCAGCTCGATCCACGCCGACGACTACCCCCATTGTTTGACGTCATGGGTGTACTTATCACCTGGGGTGCCAGTCACCTTTTCTGGTGTTCCACGTACGACCGTGGTTTTGGGTTTTCGTGGACCAGCTGCTTCTCGAGACATCTTTCTTGACACCCATGATCGGTCGGGTCTAGCTTTAATGTTAGACAATATGTTGATGACCAGGGTATGTGACAGTAAGAGGAAGCTTTTAGCGTCTCTAGTTGAGCCTGGGGTCACTCTCATCGGCGGAGACTTCCCTGCGGGTGAATGGGTGCCTTTGTACAGTCGACACAGTTTTGCCTCGAGAGCGCCCAGACCTAGCAAGGCACGAACAGAGTTCCACTGCTGCCCGTCAAACTTGTCCTCATGCTCCAGAAGACTGTCGTCGCAGACAGGAGCGTTAAACAGAATGACAGAGCTAGATCAGTCAGCGATGCTATCGTTACCCGATCCCACAGGTGCGTTTTCAAGGATGCTTTGGGCTTTTTTCTCCACCCTGACCCATTCCCTATGTTGTCCGCTGGTTGCTGTCTCTGGTGTGGCTTCAAGGCATGAGGTGGATGCAGTTGCCGTTTGTGTAGGCAGTGTTTTGCCCGGCCTCGAACCTCCCAGGTTTTCGACCTTCCGTGGGCCATTGTCAAAACCCTCTGGAGAGTGAATATCTTCTGTGATAGTGGTCTGGACGGACACCTGCTTTTTGATTACCGGGGATTTATCGGACACTCTAAGTGAGCCTGAGGCTAGGCGCGGTCTCAGACACCAGCGTGGGCAAATGTACCAAAACCACGTGCACGGGTGGCGCGTCGTAAAGCTATAGTACTGATGTGGCACTTCTTTGTCACATCGGCAGTGCACCCACTTGTTGCAGCTGTTGCACTCAAAGGCCGCACCACTTTTGGTAACAGTGAGAGCACATGCGTGGCAGTTTTCGTCACGTCCACGTGGCC